TATCTGCATTTGTTCCTAATTTCTTTGTGCAGAATCCTATATTCTATGCTCTACTATGGTATTGTTTTTGTCTCCTTTTCATCATGTTGAGAATTTTATCTATCATTTTATATTATTTTTTTTTGTCTATCTTTCTTTGTAATTATCTTAATTGCTGATGTTACTAAAGGTTCTTTTAATGTGTCCTACTTTGAGTTTCTATTCTCATTTTGTCTATTTTATCTACTTTTAACACTGTCCATATATTTATCCTTCACATTTGAGTCATTCAGGAGTCTGTCATATTGATATTTGAGTGCTGCCTTGGCCCTCTTCATTTTCCATAATTTCATTCTAAGTTTACATATCACTGGAATGTGGTTGCTCCTACAGTCAGCACTTGGGTATGTTTTGCAGTGTAAAACTGCATTCCTGATATATAGTCAATTTAGGTTTTTGTTTCTCCTCCTGGGCTTCTCTATGTCCCTAATATATGTCTTGGGTGTTCATGAAACCAGGTGTTGCCTATTACCGAATCACTCACTGTGAACCATTGCATCCATTTCTCCATGTTCAGCATGAGTTTCTAATCTGGATTTGCCAACTATTTCACCATCTTTCTCTTTGCTAACTTACAGGTTTCCCATGATGATTGTAATTTCTTGTGAAAGCATTGGCATTGTTTAACATACAATAAAACTTATTTGAAATAAATATTTATGTCATGATAATTGACTGTAAGAATGTTTGTAATAAATGTGAAATATGTAAAATTATGACTAAATATGTTTGGCACTGAAGGTATAAACAGTTAATTTTTTAAATAGTGTTTTACTAGTGTTCACTAGTGACTCAACTAATTTTTGCATTTACACTGTTTATATCTTTTATGGTAAGATATGTTCTAAACTAATTAAAATTAGGTAACTTCTTAAATAAACTAATATGATTCATCTTAAAATTTACACAAATTCCAGAAACTTTTTGGCAAAATATTTACAGAACTGAAAGTGTTTACAAATCATATAAAAGCCAAACAAATATTACCCTTTGCTCACATTTGGTTTGTAGTTGATGTGACAACACCCTGATTATCAAAGGTCCCAAAAATCTGAAAGAGATTTCTTTGCTTACTTCTGCTCAAACATGATAATGTGTAGATACTCAGCATTTTAGGCTTTAAATGAAATACTTTTCATATCCTATTTTTCACATAGTTTTTTAACTTCTAAAATTCTGTACACTATATTTGTTTTTAAAAACTAATTTTTTCTTCATGCATCACAAAACTCTATGCTCAATAACAAGTCTGTGAAGCTGTTTTGAAGCATATTATAATTTTTTATATGCATTCTCTTTTGACATGCCTTCTTTACCTCTTAATTGTTATTAAACATACTTTGTTACTTAAATGTATATCTGCCTTTCATTTGCTTCTTGATGTGTTTTCTATACTATTTGATAAAGGAAAAAGTAACATACAAGCTGAAAATTTATAAGTTTTACTATTGAAATGGAATATTTATTTTTTAATCAGCTTGCTCCTGTGCAATTTGAGTCAAACCTCCTCTGGTACTTTTACTAATAGTTGTAAAGTGTGATTTTTGAGAGGTAAAAAGATGAAGATGCAGGTTTTGTTATTGAGTTTTACAGAAGAATATAAATATTTTGCAGTTTCTCAGGCAAAATATTTTGAAATGCAAATATTTATTCTTAGTCAAATATAAAATGTCCTTACTAAAGTTAATCAGTTTTATATTAACTAGCTATTGTTTCTGCTTATTGAAAAAATGCTTAGTTTTTAACATCTGATAATAAGATTAACTTTTTAACTGGAAATTAACTTAGGCTATAAGCTTTCATGTTGGTTTCTGATGTTTGCAAGATATAAAAGCTTTTAGAAACTTTAGCTTTTCTTCTTTATTATCAAACCTTGATTAGAGACTTATTTAGCCAAACAAATTATTTTACCATATTTTCTTTTTCTAATACAACCATACATACTGATGTAGAGTTATTCCATATATTCAATACTAAACAAAAAATAATACAGAAAGAAAAAATACATTTTCCTGTTATTTTTTTCTTCTAAAATTTCTAAAATATCACGTGTTATATAATTTGTCATCAGGTTGCTCTCAAAATGTCTATTGAAAAATTTATTTCATTATTTGTCTGTTCTTCTCTCATATCTTCTCTCTATCTTATGCAGATAAAATTCAGTGTTGGATTTTTTAATTCTGTATAGTTTTCTGATTTGTAGATTAAAAAAAAAATTCACATCTTGATCAGATTAGGGTATTAAGTAAAAATCTTTCATGTTTTAAAATACTTTAGACATATTTTTGTGTGTGTTTAATGATCAGTCTTATACTGATCAATATTATATTAGGAATAATAGGCAAGATATGGAAAAATTAGAAAAACTTTTTCAAATTCTAACTTATGATTGCTAATTTTGGAAGAAGCATAAAAAAAGGCTCCCTGCATTTCATCCTCCTTGAATAGTTATCTTAGATACAATTACCCATGAATTAGGCTGTGATTGATTATTGTAAAAAATGGAGGATTACTAAATAACATATCACACATTTGTTAACATAGACATCTCCTTTGTGTGTGTGTGTGTGTGTATATATATATATATATATATATATATATATATATATATATATATATATATATATATATATGATACCTAATTACTAGGAATCACAGTTGCAGGAAGGTTGGTTTTGTAAATATTTTATGTTTTTTATATATATAAAGCTATTATTGAAATGACTACAAAATCATTCTCTCTTTTATATGGTCTTCATGAAAAAGTATTTTCAGATATTGAATTTTTAATAAAAAGCATTATATTCTTATCTTCAAATTAATTTACTACTAATATTCAATGATCCTTTTTAGTCTTTCCAGACATTATTGAATAGTAACAATACTTTCTATCAGAAATTCAGATGAAAATTGATTTATTAATGGTTTTTGTATTTATCATATGTGGATTATATCATGAATTTCCATGAGATAAGTTATTAAACTTGATTAATAAAATATATTTGAATGGATTAAGTGAGTACTTCTTATATCTATAAATTTAAGAATTAGAATTAATAATGCTTGCTCTTTAGATAGTTTGTAAATTGGCTGATATACCAGATATCACTTGTCAGCCTATCCAAAATATAAGATTACAAATTGAAGCATTTAGATTTATAAAAACAAAAAGTGGTGTTTCTTAAACCTCAGACATTTCTTGAATAAATAAATCTCCAAATATTTATTGACTCTTAAAAATATTAAATTAAAATGTGAGCATATTATATTTGTATTACAACAAAAAAAGAAAATTACTGATCTTAAAAGCTTATTTTTCTTCCAGTGCAACTTGTACAAATTTAGTATGGCCTCCAAATTTAATTTATAATCAAATATAAGTACATATATATTTGTGTACATTAAGGTTATCTGAGATTTTGCAATGACTAGTATTCTCTATATTTTCAATGTTTTACTGTCACATGTTGGCCTTTTATAAGAAGGCCAAAGAATACATAATTGATTTCAATGCTTAAAAGTTGACATCAATGGTAAAAGTAAAAGTTAATGCTATATGATAGTCTTGATTGGGTAAAGTCTCTAGCATTGAGAGATTTGTTCCTTATTATTTCAGAGATAATGAAATGAAAGTAGGTGGTTGTAACTTTTGTTGGATAGAGAATCAAAGTAGGTAGATTGGCAGATGATATAAAGACCATTTGTTGTAATTGTAAAAGTATAGAAAAGAGGTTGCTTAATGATGTGCCCAAAGGTGAGAGGGGACAGGTTTGTTTATTATCAAGCAGAGATAATGATAGACGGAAAAAAAAGCAGGAAATGCTAGTGTTTCACTAAAACTGTGTAAATACTTGAGAGCTATTTTTATATTATATTCTCTTTTTATGAATTACTGTATATTATTGTTAGCTTCTTAATTATTGTTCCTTTTATTTTTATTACTCATATTATTGCTTTTATTTGGTATTGTTTGAAGTTGGTTTATTAACTGGAAGTTCTTTTAATCTCTGATACAAGCAGATGTTTTAATGTATTTAATTATTTTGTTCATGTATCTGGCATAAAAGTTAACAAAGACTATAATATGTTATTTATAAAGACTATTTATATTTTATATATTTGCTTGTGTGTTGATTATTGGTAGATATCAAGTGACAGCAAGTCTCCTCAAATCCCTAGTACATTTTTCAGGATTATTACTGACCCCAGGGATTTAGATATTCTCAGCTCCTCTATCAAATTTTTAATTAATCTAATCTTTCCTCTAGTCTTTTGAGCATGATTCCAAGTGCTTCAACTATTATAGGGACAACCCTAACTCATGTTCTACACTTTTTTTCAGTTCCTGGGCAATATCCTGCTTCTTTTTTTTTTTTTTTTCCTCAAATTCTTCACTTTCATTTTCACCTTGTGGTCCATTGGCACAGCCACATTCATAATCTGCCAGGTTCTTTTCTTATTTACAACTATTAGCTCCATTCTTCTCACCTTGATAGGATGTACAGTCAGAATTTCAAATTTTGTTTTTGTTTTTTACAATAAGCTCTAGTCTGTGTTGATAACATTTTTTACATGGCTTTTTGCAGAATTTCCAGTGTTTAACTGTTCCTATTCTATCATGGCTCTTTTTTTTATTTCTTCTGAGCCAGTTTACTGTATTCACTTATGAAGTTTGCCTGTTCTTTGCTTCAAATAGGTGTTTATTATTTTTCTAGGTTTTGTCTATCTTTACTTTGATATAGTTTGTCCTGATATATTTATTATGGGCTGCACAGTAAAATTGTTTCCCTTTATATGTGTCCTTTGTGTAGCCCCAACTAAGTTTGTTTACTGTTACTTTTATCTGCTCAATTTTTAGAAGTTCTGTATGTTTTGTGAATATCTGGATATTTTAATTGTAATCACAAATCTATAAGAGTATATAAAAAATAAAACAAAGATATAATTTGATTTTTTTTCAGACTGTGGAAGGTGAAATGCAGAAGCGCCAAGTAGTTGTTTCTTCTATCAGTGAAATTACAAACCAACTGAAAGACATGGCAGATGATATGTTTGAGGATGCTGTTCTTAAAGTTGATAAACTCAGTCAACAATGGAATGATCTTAGCAAAATGCTAACATCAAGGAAAGCAATGCTTGAGGTAAATAAACAACTTTCTTTGTTTTTCTCTATTTTTGTTTTATTTTCATCTAATGTTATCTACTAATAAGTAGATTTGTTAATCTTGGCTAAAAGTATTTTGTTGATTTTTGTTTTAAAGCAAAACTGCTTTTGTACTTTTTCAATGAGACATTTTATCTGTCTTTATATTAAAATATGAAGGCAGGTAAGATATTTTAAGATTTGCATAAGATACATGAAATAAACACTGAAATGTTTTCATATTGTAAGTGAAAAATATACAGAAAATCACATAATCGCATGTGATATGTTCAATGATGTTTTCTGTTGATGGCAGTTGAAAAAACTTTTGGAAAGGTAACCATTTCATTTTTTTTCATGATTTACAATGAATTATGCCTTAAACATTCATTTCAGCAAAATATCCTCAAGATGTATTTCTATTTAAAATTCTGAAGTAGATTAAGCTCAGTTGATTGGAATACTGTTCTTAAAAGTATTCAATGATTTTTTTTTCTCTTATATTTTCTCACTGAATAAAAACAGTGCACCTTGAGCCAATTATTTAATTTGAGATTGTACATTGACTTTTCTACATAGACTTTTTAAAAAGTAAAAATATCATGTTGCATGATTACCTGTTGGCAGACAAGTGCCATTAACAATACCAGTTAGAAATGAGATAATAATATTTTGATATTTCTTTTTTAATGACACGGTGTCATTAAAATTAACAAAGAATTTGTTACCTTATATTTTTTCTGAAGTTTTCATGATCATAAGATCATGAAAAATATATCATCCTTCAATTTTTCTTGTCTTTGATTGATGCATATATGTCTATACTATATACTTCATTTGAATTTGAATTTTTATTTACATTCACATTAAATACTATATTTAATATGCTCATTGTTTCAGTCACTAAACATAGCATTATAGCTGGGAGTATTGGTTAATTTTTCTACTCATTGGTTCGGTGACTCCTCTCTCTACATGTTGCTTAGATAAGATCTGAAGAACTTCTAAGATCAGGGTTAAAATATTGCAAACCTGAACCAATCACAAAATGAAAGTTGATCGCTTTCTGAGATTGATTGAAATCATGGAATAATTACAAAGAAAACCCGAAAACCGTAACAAGATTTTATGAAAACATAGCTTTATCTGTTGATTACATCAATGTTTCAAATTAGTATCTTCCTTTCCTCAATTGATAGTGTTATGCATTAGTGTGAACTGAACATTTTTTCTTTACAGTTAAGATAAGAGAACAACAGTTGTCTGCATGTGTTTTCTTTCTTCTCCCAATTTTTAAAACTGTGGGAAGGGGAGAATACTGGTGTTTTGTTTGATGTCTGTTACTACAATCTATATCTTTCCATTTCTTATCTTTTGGTAGCCTCAGTGAATTACATAAAGTGTGCCCTGCATGCCTTAACCATTAAATTACATTTTCTAAGAGTCCCCTTGTTCTGGAAAGCACATAACCCTCTCACCACTTGACCATATTCTGATAATCTAGCTCCCCAAAACTGTTGTTCCTATAAGACCTTTGCCAATTATATCTTCATGTAAACAAACCACACTGCCCATTGGTCAGCTTTGTGGCTGAGTTTTAAGAAATTATTTCACCTAAGAAACCACACCAATCTGATGAATAGGTCTTTATATAAACAAATTAATCACAAAGGATTTAGAGATATTTGAAATCAGCTGAGGAATTACGTCATCATTTTCACCTGACTTAGCTAAAGGAACATCCATTGTTTTATTAGTTTATCTCCAAGTTGATATTAAGATTCATATCCTTGGAACACTTCAACTCATCTGTTCTCTCAAAATTACCTTTCATTATGAGTTCTTATTCTACATTTAATCCCAGTAAACATTAAATGAGATCAAGCCTTGTTTGTTTGTTTTTTCCTGGTTTTATACTGTGAAATTGGACCTTTCTACATTTAGATCTTTTTGTTGCTATCAAGCTTCTGTTGGACTCTATTCAACTCTGTTATGAGTAGATCACTACAACATTGCTTATAGGTTTAATCCTAACTAGAGTGAAAACTGTGATAAATTTCACAAAATATAGATGCACAAATTAAGCAAACATCTTGGAAGTGAGTATCTTCAGTATCAGTAAATACAGTATTAGTGTGTACTGTAGATTGGTGAGGTGAATGTGAGATTTACTGAGCAGGTATAGATTTGATTAAGAGCCAGCATTGTGCCTAGTCTTATCACATGGACATGTTCTCAGTGCTGAGTAGGGTGAATTCTGATTCACTTGAAAGTGTTGGAATGGAATCAATGTACATTAAGTCCTAGCAACCACCTCTCTGTAAGCAGATGGAGTGGTTGGTGGGTTAAAAGGCAATTAGCTTTTAATGTTATATTTTCTTGCATATAACCTTTGTCTGGAGTTTTTTGTCCTCTATTTTTTTTGCTCTGATGAGAGAAAACCAATAAACTGGTTTAACTGTTTTTAATTATTGTTATATTTTGGTATTACCATTTTGACAAAGCAATTTTTGTTACCCCCTCTTTTTGTTATGAATTACTTTTTAATATGCCTGCTTTTATTACTGTTTATTATTTTGATTAGTATTATAATTTTTATTGCTCTATTATTATTTTGTATAATTTACGCACATAAACAATTAGTTGAGAATTGAATTTGCAAAAAGAAAACATTTCTCTTCCTATTTCCCATTATGCTACTTTGATGAGGTATACTTTGCAACACAAAATTCTTTCATACATTTTTCTTTTTTAAACAGATTTATGAATGTATAAAAAAAAAAAAACGTCAAAGGTTCTTCAAAATACTTCAGTGTTCTATTTAGATATTTTGCATTTGAAATTATTTATACTTGATCAGCACTTAATGCTTTCTAACATGAAAACTCATAATAAAACATACACTAATCATTTGCCAAAGAAATATTACACATGTACAAAATGTAGTGTAATATTTTTGTTATGTACTCTTTTGTACTGTTATGACGTTTTGGGTTATTTAGTGCAGAATTATGAGCATCATGGCTGACAAGACTATAACATTTTTTCCCTTTCTCATATGAAATCATTGGACTTCTTTCTTACTGAAAGTCTACATAGACTTCTGTCGTGAGTCTTGACATTTTATTTGTTTAATGAAACTTATGTAATAAAGTTGGCTGCTACAATTTATTCAACAAAGAAATATAACTGACTTTGAACAACTGAAGTATAGATAAGTTCTCATGACCTGAATAGTTTGAAACCAGCACTTATTGAAGTTCTACTGCTAAAAAGTAGAAGCATTGGAATAATTTTTTTTCAAGGGATACCATGGACCACCAAACATGTGAGCAACAATAAAGTTTTAGAGACAATGGAAACAAAAAAAAAAAAGAAAATTTATAATTAACATGAAGAAGAGACAATTGAAGTTTCTAGGGCATATAATGAGGAAAGAAGGCTTGGGAAATTTGATATTCATGAGAGAAATTGAAGGCAAGAAAAACAGAAGAAAACAATGTATAACATACTTAGTGGGCTTTAGTAAATGGATAGTGAAACATGGTTTAGGAGAAATAGCAGAAAGACAAAATTTATTAAGAGCTTCAAGGGACAGGAAGTTGTCGACAGCTATGATTCCCTATGTCATGAGGAGATACAGAACATGCAGAAGAACATTGAGCAAAGCTCTCCAGATAAACTGAATGGTGTTGAAACTTGACTAATGCATGGAATAATAATGCAACACAAAATGTACTTAGAACAAAATGTATTGAAACAAGAAAGTGTACACAATATTTACATATAGTCTTTTGTATATTCCTGGTAAGACCGTTCCTGGAGAATGTGTTGGCAGAGTCTCTGGTTGAATCTCTTGATTCCTCCCTCTCTTCCCGGTACCAACCATATTTATATGGTCGGTACTCCACTATGCAAATTAGGTGGATCCTACCACAACAAATGGTCTCTTTAATTCCTACATTGCTCCTTCTATGTATGAGTTTATTTCTGATTGTAAAACTTAATGTTTGTAAAAATTGCATGTGAAATGTAAAAATGAGGTGTATACAAGACATTTATTTGCGTTCAGGAAGATCTGCAGGCACTAAAACATTTGAGTGGAGACTGTAATTACATAGTTGTCACTCATGAAAAATCTAAAGAGACTATATGCAATGCTTTTAAAAGTGGTTTAATACCTAATACAATCCATCAGTTGCTACTTGAGAACAAAACACTTGATAATTGTAGCTGATTTTGATCAAGCAAGAGCTGTTCTGGAACATTGGCAGAATTGTTCAGAATCCTGTTATGCATGATAGACAACATTTAGTACATCAGCTCCTTCCAGTGATAATGCAGAAACATGTAGGGACAAATCATGTGGAACTCAAATATCAGTGCTGTCTCTAAAGGATAGAAATGTTTTTTCTATGGGAATAAAAGCACTTTCATCAGAATTGTCCAGAATGGGTAGCTACATGTAATTGATGTAGTAAAAATGGCCGTTTTGCAAATGTATGTTATTCAACACAACCTGGAAAATATGCACTTCAGTCTCCAATGTTTGCACAGATAACATCTAGATTAGAAATTGACATACGTTTAGAAAGCTTTCTATGCTGCACACTTGTAAAGAAGTTACATTTGTATATATGACCAGCTTTTAATTATGTGTATTCATTGAACTCTAAAACTTCTGGCTATTTATTTTTATGTAGAACTGAAGAAATTTCAATAAGAATGTGAGGCTATCTGATTTATATGACAATGTCATCTTGGAACATCAAAGCATTTGGTTGGGGAGAAACCTCCATTAAATGTGTGTGGATCTACTACCTTTTCTGTTTTCTTCTTTGACTTTTTGCTAATCTTACCAATGATTGTAACTGAGTAGCTATTAAGTCAAATAAATACTGTCCTTCAACACTTTATTGTAACTGAAATGAAGTTGCTACTCACAGAAGGAATAACTGAGCCAAGCACTTCCTCTTGACAAGCTCAAGTTATTGTGAC